TACTTTTCTTCCCTCTAGGCTTTCTCTTCTTCTTCTTCTTCTTTTTTTTGTTGTTGTTGACATAAGAATTGCTTCAGAGTCCATGCCCTCATGTTGTATGGCACACCATTGGGTGTATTCAAATAAATAAATAAATAAAAATAAAAAACCTGCCACGAGGAATAAATTTAGAAAAATATACATACTGAGTGCGCTAGGACGTAACTTGTTGGTATCAGTTGCTGTAACATTCAGAATTTGAGTGTGACACTTTCGATATTCAATAGCAGCCCATTGTGTAGCGTACTGTACTCCGATTAAGACCTCACTGGAATCTTCGAACTCAATGGAGAGTTTGAAAACAGAGTGTGCAAGGTGAGCGAGTCAAATAAGTTACAACCAACGGTATGCAAGAGAAATATGAAGCAGAAAACTGTCTGGCTCTTAATCACTCTTTCAAGGACATGGAACGAAGAGCCATGAGGAGTAGATTAATAAAAGTAATCCTAAATGGAAATGGTTGGTTCATTCTCGAAGACACTGTGACGTTGTCCCCCTTGTTGGGTTATAGAGTGTAGCTGTAAATCGTGAGGCAATGGATATGCAGTGCCGAAGGTTAGTACTTGGTTAGTGTAACAGGAAAATGATATTGACGAAAAGGGAAGCTGCAACTAATAGCTAGAAGAAGCCGAAAACCCTATAGTGAGCTGCAGTCCCATAGAAAAACTTCATTGGAATTGAATTAACACGCTGGGAACATGTGACTTCACTGCGGCGTCGATGGTATAAAACGGAGGAGAGTCATTTATTCTCCTCACTATATAGACGAATTCTACTTTCATTATCTTAAAGAAACAAAGAAAAACTCGTAAAAGTATTATGTTACACTAAAGTAAACAGCACGTTTACACTCGTTTACAAGTTAAGAGCATGAGATGTCGCTGTCATCCAGGAATGATACAAGATTAGGCGTATGCATAAAAAGAAATAAAGGTCATCAGAAAGTCAAACGATTTGAGAAGTATTGGAGTTGTTCGCAGCAACTGTGGCATATAAGTCAAAGCAATGCGGAAAAATAATATCTACCCATCAAATTGATTTAAATATAGAACAAGAAGGCCTTTAACGGCAATCAAGTCTGCAACATACGACGGATGTGCCCAGAGCATTTTTCGATTCAATCATACCAATCTAGATATTTCGAAAGGTTTGTGATGCAGTCAGCGTCAGCAAAGGCAAGACTAATACATAGTCGTTATGATTTTGTTGTTCTTCGTTACTTTTTAGATATGATATTAAACGAAGCGCCACAAACACTTCAGCAACTCTGTTCTCTTTATGTCTTTTACCGCTGATTTTCCAGCAGAGCAATGTATGAACCCGAACTTCAACATCACCAAGTGGAGCGCAGAAAAAGTCGTTCAACAAAATGGAAAAAAGAACTAAGCAAAATGCTTACAATGAGAGGTTTTTTTACTTCGGCTTCAGCCATCGCTACCTTATTATCACGAATAGGCAAAGAAGCTGTTGTCCTAGAGTATCGGGATGCTGAAAGAAAGAATATTGAACCAGTACAGCCTCGATAGATCAACCTCACCTCTAACGGAAAACGGTTACACGAGGAAAGTACAGTGAGAGACAATGGTTTCTTTCGTAATGAAGGATGAAATGTGGATCAATGCGATGGAAAGTGTGTAGAAGAACAGTAAAAGAAAGCGATGTAACTGAAAACAGTGTCGGCGCAGTCTGATTATAGAAAAATCTAATAAGTGTAGATGAAGATGTTGAAGGAAACGATTTCTCAACTACCTCATGGAACAAAGGAAGTTTTGCAAAACCTACATCAAATTCTCTATCGAATTGGACCTATCCTTGCCACAAAGGATTCTCCAACTCATGAATATACAAACTAAAAATGGAGTTTGCCTTTCTCGAGCTATGAAAACGACAGTCACGGACGCTCGACATTATAAATCCTGCATAATAAGTCAAGACCGTTGAAACCATTTTTCCGTTCTTTTCAATCTCTTGATGCATCAAGTAGCATTTAAAAGAGACAAACCCAAAAATTCCCAAAATGAACTGAAACACCCCTGGCCAAGTCATGATGTATTCTGTATTTACTGCAATGGTATAACGCAGCAAGTTGGCAAAACATCGCAGAAGGAACAGGCAGTAAGGTCAATCGATGTAATTCAGGTTTTGTCACTTTTGTCACAAAAACCACTGCCGCCCTGATCAGAACTGAATGTTTCAATCAGAAATAGTTCGCTTTTTCTAAAAAAAACTTACAAATGTAATCCTAGGTGTACGGAGTATAACAGAAAACAAAAGCTCATGACGAAACGCCTCAGAAATAGCGTAAATGCACACCCAAGAGGTGTTGCTTACGAGCTTGCAACAGTACACGACCTAATAGTCAAATCAGAATTGGGAGATTGGACCACTTCCAAATGGAACAGTGAAAAATGTTTTTCTCAAAGGACGCGTTTTTTCAAAACATTCCCGCGCCCCGCCACTTCATTTGTGTCAGTGAGCGCTGCAGCTGGCGCTGCTTAGGTGCGTTTCAGGTGCAGAAAACCGAACATCCAGCCTAAACAGCAGTTTCCTACGATAATCCGGCAATGGGTCCTGGCCCGAATGCCTGGTTACGACGCGGAGCAGGTGATAGGTGAGGTTATATTGGGAACGTAACATGAAGTCTGCGTCTGTTGCAATTCAATTCGGGTTACTCAATAACCAGGTTCCCGTCCGAAATTTTCGTGACTGTTCTGGAGACAACTTTTTTATAGAAACATGGTGTCAGTGGCGAAAATGTGGATAGGTATGGGTATGGGACAGTTTTCGAATCGTTTAAGACTCTGCTATTTTGGCATGAAGAGGCTAGTAAGAAGGATCCCACGAGTTAATTTGATGATGGAACTGACTCTCTCCTCACCCCTCCATTAACCTTTTTTTCCTAGAATCCTATTTTCCCTTATAAAAATAAGTGGACAGAAGAACAAAACACGGAGAACACATTTACACGGGCATGGACTACTGAAAATTCGGTATTGATCGATGGTGGTGGTGGTGACAGTGTAACCCACGGTTTCCTTATTCTTCAACTACGAACAACAATCGTGAGCAGGAATAGGACACATTGGTGAGCAATCTTGGCAAGGTCGTGGTTGACGCCACGGGGACAAAAGGGGAGAGATAATTGGGGAATCATTTGGGATTGCAAGTATGGCGTTTAGTATTCATCATCTTGCTTTATGCATTCATTTATTTCAATGTTAAAAGTTTAGGAAATTGATTAGCAGTGCACTTTCAAAAATATTGGCTAAATAACTCTCAATCCTTAGTTTTAGATCACATTAATCACAAGAGACAGATAGCAGGAGAAATTAGAAACGCACAGGACGATTACTGAAGAAGAAGAAGAAGATCGCATCGATGAAAATGTATCGGACAAGTTTCAATGTTGCCCTCAAAATGAAGGACAACTCGTTCCGTAAGTCGCTGCGCTAAAAAACTAAGCACCTAACCCTTCAAAAAGGTTCTGGAATAACATAAAATTGGCTTTGAACTCATATTAAAGAATATCGGGCACTGTTTATATCTCCAACGCTGGCAAGACCGCACATATGCCTCCACTCAGTTTTCGAGGCTTTCTTAACATGGCTTACAGTCCTCATACTGACATTGTAGGCCGAGTAGGATGCATAAATGAAAACCTATCAATGATATAATAAGGAAATGTACCAAAATATAAAGTTCAATGGTGCTTGTTAAATACGAAGAGTAGGCACAAAGGCGAGCCATCACTTTCTAATCCATGAATTCTCGTCAGGTAAAATATTTATTTCTGAACTTACAGAAATACAATAGGACATGCCAGTATCCTACGCAAAATCTGCATTCACTTGTCGTGCTGGTGGGATGAACGTGGCTTTCCTGAATTGTTTCGTCGAAAACCAGACCAACAGCGTAATGCCTGCTTCCGACTACCTTCACGACATGACAAACAAAACAACCGCAAAGACCATGCAAAGCAACATCGGCACCTACTTCAAGTGCTACGTACAATTATCTTTTGCTAGAAACGAATCAGCAAAGTAAATAGCTACTGTACACCTGGCTGTTTATGGGTGGGAAGATTGCAAGACGGTCCCAGTAAAATTTCGAAGTGAAAAGGGAAAAAGGGCGGGAGTAAGGTGAAAAGAGCTCAGGGTAGAGGAGATTATACGCGGATTAACCGGTTGCGCAGAAACTTCGTAAGCCGGTTCTGTAATGATTTGGTTTTTAGCGAAAATGGGGCAACATAAGAACAAAACTTGTGACAGAAGATTCAGAGCGTGAGAACCAATGGTAAAGAGAAGTCACAGCAAAACTCATAACGCAGCTTTTTGAATTTCTTGAAGCTCTCGCACGAATTCAAGCTGCTCTGCTCGAAGGAGGTCAAAACCGCTCAGAAAAGGTCATTTTTGTAGACCTTTTCCACATTTTCAATCACGACAACAGCTACAAAACTTAGGCTCGTTCTTCAAAAAAATCAACAACTTTTATAAACGTATGAACGACCCGTGATAACAATATCGAGGTTACTAACTATTTAAATTTTGATCGCAGATCTCCAGAAATCATCTAAAGCTGTAAGCAAGCTGAGCACGATATTTTTGAGGTCTACCGCAAAGACGCCTGTCTACCAAAAAGAAGAAACCCACTAGTGGATAGTGCGCAAACCCCAATGACTTCGCTAGAATGCTCAGGGTGCCCACTGCCTTAAATGCACAGAATACTAAGGGCACAAAACAGAGGTAAGTTATAAAGTATAACAAGAGCTCATAATGCCTTTGGTTTCACTAGGTAGATGAAACTGACAACGAAATATACAATCTATAGAATGCTATCTACAAGAGCCAGACTCCTAAGGGAATCCAACAACAAAATATACAACCTATGGAAAGCTATCACAAGAGCTAGAATCCTTAAGGCACAAAATCATCAACAATACGAAGAATCATTCGAGGAAACCTCAACAAGCACTTAATCACGCTTCAGAAACGGTTTTCTGCTTATTTCCACTCCGACCGTAATTGCTCACCACCATCAGAATCATTATCAAGGGGAGGTAGAGCAAGCTACAAACAATATCAGAACTAATGAGAACGAAAGGCTCATTGTTAGTGAGGCAATAATGAACAAACTAACCTATAAAAGAATAGCCGGCGTGAGTTGCTGGCATCTGGAGCACTGTAGAACTTATACGCTAACCAACATAAATATGCATTAACAGGTAGGGAATCTGAAACAGCATCCATTTTTCAGCAGTATGAGATTATGGATATGACTGAAAATAAGTTGAATACATGAAAATTAGAATGACAAAAGACTGAGGGGCCGCCTATCAAAACTAGATTATTCCAAAAATACTTGAAGAGTTGTTTTTTTTTNTTTTTTTTTGAACACTAGATACTTACCTAAAGCAAAGCTAACAGTAGTGAGATTCGTCAAAGGAGCAGCAACACTGCAAAGTCCAACCAAAGCCAAACTATGTCGAATTGATGTTACTCGACACAATCGCTCATCGGTAACACACATGACGCGATATCCAGCCTGAAAATGGATAAAAACACAATATTGTCACTACAGGAAATGGAAGGCGAAACTATTTGCAGCCTGAAAACGTCCCTCAAAAACACGGTCAAGTAATGTTTTGGTTTAGAATTTGAAAAGATTTTTCTTTTCATGTTCAAAACCATTTTACCGAGATTTTACCGAACGGCTTCTTATACGGGACGCTACGTAATAAGATTTTGCAATTATTGCAAATTATGTTGCTCAAGCAGAAGACATCATTCAGGAGTAATGTTATTATTTCAAGGGTTTTACAGTCGCAAAATGGTCAGAGAGAAGAAGGTCATAGACAAGAGCTGAATGCTACGAGACAAAGAAACCAACCATTGACATTATATGAATCTGGGTTGGAATTTGCGAATTCTTAGTCCTGAGCTTTGCTCAAAACTCTACCATGGTTAAGACGAAACGTTAGAGAACGTTCCGATTGAATCAGTAGAACAAGATGCTTGACATATTCACAACCTTAGCCTCTTCTTAGTATTGCTTTTCTATCAACTTGAGGCAAGTCCTTGAGGACGAAATATGCATTCCCTATTATGATCTACGCAAAGAAGGGCAATGGGAACAGGATGAAAACTAATCTATACATCTGATCTCAATAATATAAAGCAAAAATTGTAAAAAGGCAGTAACCTTGCTGTAATCTCCTCGAAGATTCCATGATAACCCATTGAAATGTGGAAATTGCCAACAATACAGGATAGCGGCAAGACAAAGAGCCGATGCATCAATCGTTCCTGTTGCTGCAGCATAACCCATCAACGGCGGAATCGCTCCCACCTATGAAAATGTCATATGTACAGAACCACTGATAATGGGTAAATAATACGCATTTCACGATGCAGTGGGAGTCTTTCACTGTTCATTATTCGTGGATCATCGTTAATATGAAGAGAAACATGAAGCCTTACCACAGCACCGGCCCAAGTGCAAGCAATATGCGTGCGTTTGAGCGGAGTATATACTCCTGCGTATAGTACGAGATTTAACACTCCAAGTGTTGCAGCAAGAGGATTTGCCAACTGACATAGCGTTGCAGTACCAGCTACGGCTGCCACACCGGCAAAGGAAAGGGCATGAAGCGGCGAAAACCTCAAAAAGGATTTTCAAAAGGAGATACTGATTCAACTACTGTTGCTGCAAGCAGTACCGGAACCGGTATGCTACCTGTGAACAACAAGAACACGACTTTGCGTCCGTTTCATTTGAGCATCATAAGGGGCTTCAAGCAACTGATTGCAAGCATTAGCGGAAGAGGACAGTAAAGCAGTACCTATAAAAGCACTTTACATAATTATTTTTTAGCGAAAATGGCAGTTACCCATTTCTATTACACTAAAGTATACCATGTTAACACATATGTTTATTACAAACACAAGAGTTCTGTACTAAAAGAGATTATAAAACATAAGAGGAAAATATACCTGCCGCACATGCCACAAAAGGGACTACTGATATACTTACAGGTGCCAAAAGAAAACCGGCTACAGCTACAAAAACGCAAAGATTTGAAAGGAAATGGCAGGACAGAAAACAAAAAAAAANAAAAAAAAACAAAGACACACCGGTAGATGTGATCAGCATAGTAAGCTTCGACTTTGATAACTGCAAATAAGCAGATAGCAGTCCTCTAGGTTCCATTTTTGTCCACAACTGTAGCTCCGTTTCAGGAACTACAATTACAAAAATAAGATAGAAGATTTGATAGATAATAAACATTTGCAACGAAGGTCAAATCATTTTATGAGAATGAGAGCAACATTATTTCAATCTGGAGCCCATGTAACTATGCTGTACTTTGCAAGGTAAACCGTGAAGAGATTTACAACGTAAAACAAGTGTAACGTTTTGAAATATGAGCGGCGATGACAAAATAGAAAACTTTGTTACAAACCTACTAAGTTGATCCTTTTCTTCGGTTTCTTTCTTCCAAGCTCGAGAATCGATCGCTGCGGTACTTCACGTAGCATTTCTTCTTCAAGAGGTTTCGCCTATGATGACTGAATTATGCCAAAGGTGCGAGTGCCCAAAAAAGTAACATTGCTTAAGCAATATCGGCTTTTTAAATACGCTCTTCGAGTGCTAATGAACTTCAGCCACTAATTTGCCCCGAGTACTTCGAATCAAGAAAAATTGCTAATAAAATAACTAAACGTGTTCTTCAAAGCTTCAACGACCTGAGCACAGCCATCCAATAAGTAGGGAGGGCTACGTGTAAAGCAGTCTTTTCATACCGAGCAACTGCAAAACTGTTTCAGGCACTCTGAATAGGTACGAACAGGTGAAGTTTCGATCTCAGTACTGCATCACTTACTGAGAAGATCAGGTAGTGACGAAAATTTGATTCAAATAAAAGCTCCATAACTCTAATACTCCACTACTCGCCGACAATGTGGAGCGAATGGGAGGGAGACCAGTACGCTAGCCTTTCATTTATGGGCCGTGCTATGGGATACGAACATCTAGGTAGAAATACCATGCCAAAGAAGGGAGCAGGGATCTAAAAACGTATCTCACCTTCGGTAGCGAACTAAAAACGACCGAGTGGACGAGTGTCGAACTTGCTGTCGGCCGGATTCTCGTCCGACTACAAAGTAGCAAACTACTCCAAATCATAATTTTGGGGCAATGGAGTAGTTATGCTGAAATTAATGACTATAACATCCGATCGAAGAACACTCAGAAAAACAACATTCATCACGATGTGGCGGCGAAAGACAACACAACCAGGTACTGCTTTTTTCATTTCCTATTGATTTGTTCGGTACAAGAATCTGTCTAACACTGGTCCGAACCGAATAGGAAGACAAATGTTTTGTTGCTTCCAACAAAAGCCAGCAGTCTAAGCAATAGTATATCAGGCCATCTGAGCATAGTTAACTTGAGTTTGGTGCATGAAAAGTATCCTAATCTAATCGTTTAGGCAAAACCCTTTGGACATCTCAGGTGATCGGAGGAAAACTTTCCATTTTCATATTGAACAACAGTATCTTCGATCCCATTGTATATAAATCAAAATTCTATGTCCCATAATAAAACATGGATTGGGTACGACGCTAACCTCTGAAGGAAAATATTCTATTCAGACAGAGTTTGTGGGCAACTTTTGGAAACTGCCAATCTACTTGGAAACTTCCATTTTCCTGGAATGAACAGTGAATAGTATCCAAAAAATCAAATCACAAACAATAGGAAGTAACATCCGTACAAAACCCTAGGAGTCTCGCAAGAAATCGGGCCCAGGCCATTTACATCAGGTTTTTACTGCCCTAGTGAAGACTTGTAGCTAAGAAAATGCAATATATTTGAAGAGAAAGGCGAGCTTCCACGACTTGACTGCGTAGTTTACTAATTAACCGCCATAGACGTTAATTAAGGTGCAAATCATAGTAAGCACGCGCAACACAGAATATGACGCCTAATTTAACAAAGTCCGCATTCAAACTTCCGTTGGCGCGCTCGATGGGCACGCAACGCATTTATTCGTGCGATGCGGCAGTCGATACTGCTTAGTTGGATATGTCTTATCAGGATACGCCCTCAGGGCGCTCTAGCACTTGTTTACTTCCACTGTCTCGCGTGGTTGTTGCACTTGCATTGTGAGGGGTTCGGTGTGAGGGAGCTTCAACGGTTCCCCGGCGGAAAGGCGAACTGGACAGATAATTCCAAGCGCTTTGGAAGCTTTTTAGCTCTTGCACGGCGCAGCGGATTTCGATGAACCAATCTACCGCACAGCCAGGATTGGTGCGTCGCGTTTTCGCCAAGTATGGCCAGTAAGGCCTCGCATACCATCCCTTGTGAAGATTGGAGCGAGCGAATATCTTACCTAGTACATTAATTTGATTCACAAAAACATCGGTTGGGAGATCGACAGGTGGTGGAGTGGGGTTCTCTGCTATTTGTCACATCTGTCACCTGTTGTCATGTCGTTCATCGACCGAGCGCAAGTGACGTCTTCATGCGTCCCTGTCCCAACCACAGTTATTTAGTAGGCTTACTTGCTTGAAGAATTGCGCCTTTCGTACACAGCTTTCTTGAAAACCTGACATTGAACTGACTGCTGTCACGGTTTTTAATTGACGTCGAAGGATCCGCTTGGTCTTATGACCGTCGACCGATGACGTGATCGCCCCACCACACCTTTGACGCCTTGATGGAAGTGGGAACTTATGTGGGAATACTACGTGAGCTCTACGACAAGTTCACGACTAAGATAATTGCATAGGAAGTCACTGTCAACGTTAAGAGAAGGGTTAGGCAAGGTGATACTAACCAAGCTTTTCAGTGTCGCTCTCGAGAACATCATACGTCATAAGGAATGGGAAGGCATGGGAATGAAGGTCGACAGGACCTACTTACATCACCTCCGCTTTTTAGACGACATCATGCTGATAACTCCTAGCATCGAGCAGGTGGATCGAATGCTTGACGAATCTGACAGCGCTTGCGGAAAGACGGCTTACGACTGAACCTAACGAAGACGATGTTCATGAGAATGGAATCGGAACCTAATGCTCTCCTTATGCTAAATGGAACGAATATCTCTGAATGCTCTAGCTATACGTATCTAAGCCGAGGAATGATTATGAACTTCCTAAAGGAAATGAGCAAAAGGAAACCAGCGGCGGAGAGCAGTGATGAAGACAAGGAGTACTCAGCTCCACGTTTACTTTTCGATTATGCTGTCCTCTCTATCTTCACTTATGCTTCGGAGACTCTTGAAGCTCGAGCAGTCTGGATGAGCATGCTTTTACCACCAATCGAATCGATGTCTTGAGAACTTGACGATAGAAAGTTGATCAACCCCAAAAGATCCGCTAAGAAACAAAGCTTTGATTGATATCTCATCATTTCCCGTTTGCATTTATCTGCGGCTTTGTTTATTCTTTTTTCCTGCAGAGAACGAGGAAAAAATAACCTTCTTTTTTTACATTTCTGGTGTAGGAGAACTATGATCGAGCACCTTTCGGTGGAAGTCCCTTATAATGTAATCGATTTTTAGACCCTCCATTAAATTTAAATCATGACTCCCTCTCACCTCGTTGGGGTTGGCTACATCGAGCCAAACATGAGCCCATACCAACTAACAGTTATTGATGGGGTCGAGCGCATGGCGCACCCCGAAACGAGAGCTAACTAAAGCCGATTTTTTCAACAATAGGGGTCGTCTGGTATGCATTACTCCTAGCTACTGACCATGAGTCTTGACTGGAATAAACGAACCGTACGAAACGTAAAATAATAATACACTTTTGCACTCCTGAGAGAAAATTAAGTACGCGGCGTATTCCGGAACTACCTCCTGATTCCACATCATCTAAAGATAGGCGTTCCCGATGGGATTGGCGTTCCTACCAAAACCTCAGTTCTTATTGCGTACACTGGGGACGAGCACCGAGCTGCTAGCCAGAAACCAACTTACGAAACCAGCCCATTGTAAGTGAACCGTGGAAGAAATGGCGTTTGCCACAATATACATTTTGCACCTATTTTGACAATGCCTGTAATCAGACAACCCTTTAAACAACCACACAGTTCAAGTACGGACAGTAGGTTGAAGTCAAAATTACATATGCATCTCTGGGTTAATCTATCACATGTTGACAATCGGAACAATCAAATTGAAAAATGAGTTTGAGAACAAAAAAAAAACTTGGGCGTTAGCCCGAGACTGAAACAAATACATGACAACTTGAATTGAAGGGAAATATTTTATTTATTGTTATCGTTTCGACACACATGAAGAGGTAGCAAACTACTTTTTCATATTCTGGTTTTTGAAACGTACACTGGGAAAAGACAATATTTTTACATGAGAAGAATATGACTTAGACCGATATCAAAGACTACAAAAAAGAAACATCGTTGATTGCTATTACCCTTATTCGAGTTCTACCAGCACTTGCGCCTCATCGACGGTGTCACCAACTTTAACATGGACAGCTTTTACCTGAAAATTGAACAGTTACAAAAAAGCTCCCCGTGCCGGTTCGATCCCCAAAGAAACGTACTTTTCCCGTTTTTCCTGCGTGCAAGCTGTTTTGCATCTTCATAGCCTCCATAACGACCAACTCCTGACCCTCGCTAACCATATCGCCAACCTTCACAGTAACGGACTTGATTGCTCCGGGCATAGGTGCCAACACAACAGTGGACAGATCAAGCTTAAACAACAACAGCAATGAGGCAAAAAATCACAAAACTCAGCAACAAGTTTCACTGACCTTCGGCTTCTCCTTCATGTATTGGAGGTATTCAAGAGCCTGCTCAGGGAGTACCTTCACCTTGAAAGGCGAACCTTTGAAGAGTACAGTGATCTCTCCTGCGCGTTTTCCAACAATTTGTGTTGCTATCCGCTGTTGCTTTCCGGTGCTCAAGTGAATGACGGGGTTGGCAAGATTGAGATCCCCTTCGACTGAGATTTTTTTGTCGTCAACAAGAATCTGGAAAAGACATGGTTGTAAACCAAATACCCAAAGTTTACCATAAACTACCGCGGAGGCGGTATCTAAGATAACGATTTATTTCTTATTTATTTCGATTTATGTCGTGTATTTTTATAGTAGATGCTGGTGGATAATGAGAGGCTAATGACACTGAGAACGTCGTCGATAGGCGGTTGGCCCAACCGTTTCTTGTTTCAGCTGGACACTTTCATGGGTACACTAACAATACGTATATCCACTTAAACCCGAAATACTTTTGTTCTAGAGATTTTGTTAACTGATCGTGGCATTTTGCCCCACAAATGCCTTGCATCGTCTAGTCTGCCAGCTGCTTTCGGCTATCGGCGCCTTCTAATATTTCTCATCAAGTTCAACCACCACATTCGCGCGCGCCATCTTTGAGAGCGATTAATTAACTTACCCTGGCCTTGTCTTTATCAGCGTTCTCGAAATACACTTCGACATTGTGGATTTTTTTCTTCTCGCCATTTTCACCATGACTAGGCAACTGTACTGTGAACCTGAAGAAAGGGAAATCAAGAGCAATTGATCACATCTCATCAAGATCAGCACAAATTAGACAGTAGTTTACACCAGTCATCAGTCACAGACGCTTTTCTTTCGACAACTCAATTGTGTGAATCAATCATCCGGAACGAGACCTTTCAGAGAAAAAAAAATTCTGTCAAAAACGAAGTTTTTAGCGAGGTTTTGTTGTAATCAGTAATGCTTAATTTTCGGAATTATTTGTGTGGGATCCTCTTAATTTTATACGATAAGTACTTTATCTTTTTTTTTCAAAATTTTCCGTGTGTTCAAGAACATACAAAAAACACCATTACCGTCATAAGCGTACATTTTTTGTACAGCTTGGGAAACCAACAGATACTGTGCGAATGCAGAGAACACGAAAATATACGCCGTTTTACATGAATTACTTACCGAGTTCAGTAAAATTTTACAAATATTAGAAGAAAAATGAATCCGAGATTTCCAATTAGGTAGAACCAGTGGCTCCATAGTAAGCCGTGTGGGACGATATCGGGTCAAAAAACCGCCTATATATGATGCCATTAGGGCTCTAAGAATGGTTTCGCGGACATATACGCCCAAAGGTGGACGTGTTCTACCGACGTTGTATAGGTTGCACCATTCACAATGGAGAACACACCTTGAAAACCAAACACCTAACAATCTGGTCTGAACAGTGCATTTATACTGTGGTATTCCGATATTCTATACTGCCCTGATTGTTCACGCCCTATATCATCCAAATGAAAAAGTTGAGCCAATTCCCTTCCATTCAATTATGGCACTAAAAGGCAATTTCCTCCATTTTTTGCATACTGCACCCAATTCTTGATGAAAGAGCACAGAAAGAAACTGCGTTCGTCCGAACACCTTTTCAGATTCCAGTTCCGCTACGGAAATCTCACGTAAGCCCTGTTTCCACTACTTTTAAAAAGAAAAAGAGCTTCACAAAATTGCATGAACTGCACCTTCCAAAGTATTAAACCCTGGGTGAACCAGAATTATGCCAGTCGGACAGTGTCAATTTCTCATTATCGTATAGAGAGGAGCTTATGTACGGTAGGGGTGGTAATCGGTAATGTTAAAGAGGAAGGGATCAAGGAAAAATTGCTGCTGCTACTTTAGATTCTAACTGTTCTCCTTAGGCCCGCAATAAAATATTCCACTACCACCATAAATAGGACATGAAAGCTGACAGTTAAATAACAAAAACATAGCATGTTATACCTGTATTTCTTACTGTAAGGGTCGACAGCGGTGGATCTTTGTCTAGTGTGGTTCAAATACTTATTTCCACGAGCTAGTTTGCGTGCGTTCAGAGCCGCGGCGATACCAATAATAGTCTCTTCTTCTTCTTCATTCAAAGTTGCACCTTGGAAACCTTCAGGGTATGTTTCGGGAAGATACCTAGAAATAGAAATTACAAAAGAAAAGAGCTTCTAATTGGGAAGTAGGGACATACTTAGTGGTGATGTTGCCAGTTCGGAAACGCTCTTCTTGGCAAATGTCACGAAGAAGAGGAATATTGTTCGTCACCTGAAGCGGTGAACTTGGCAATCTTCCCATTTAAGCAGTAAATACCTCAGAAGAGGGGAAAACGTACACCTCTGATAACGTAGTTGTCAAGAGCTTCGACCATGCGATCCAATGCTTGTTGACGATCATTACCGTGAGTGACAAGCTGGAAGAAAAGGTTAAATAATTCGCTCAGAACAGCATAGGAACTCATCTAGGAGGAAACTCTAATCTCAAAATTTCAATACAAACCTTGCAAATCAGTGGATCGTAATAGATGGAGATCTCAGAGCCTTCACGGATTCCGGAATCACAGCGCACACCGGCAACGTGACGAGGTTCAACATATTTGGATAGGCGGCCAATAGACGGCAGACCAAAACCTTTGTAGGGATCCTGAAAACACCCACTTAACATAAAAATCAAAAGGAGCACTCGGTCGTTTCACGAGAGGCGGTATTTCTACCCGGGTTCCAAGGCTAGCGGTAGTGGTTTCACGCAGCTACCATAATCTCCCACTGAGAATTCAATCTTCCCCGTCAAAGAGCGTAGCACTCCCTTCGGGTAAAAGACTCCACACACGTCATTCCAGAAATATAATTTGTGGTGAGGAATAATAGTCCGCGAGCAGAAAAGGCAAAACGCGTCTCCATGTAATGGAAGAGAAAACAGTGTACACGATCGGAGACAGGAGCTATAGCTCGAATTTCAAGGGATATTTTGTAGCCTATTTTGCATATGAATTAGGTCAAGTTTGTTTTTGATGGTAGGCTACATATTCGATTAGGCAGTATCCATAAATTCAGCCTCAACGTCGAACGCCCGAAGAAGCCATAACTTCATTCTTTGCATGGAGACTTAGTTGGTCGTCATCCCGACCACCGAACATAATTCGAGTCACAGCAAATAATTTGCATCCGTCGCTTCATACTAGATGATCTTCGAAGAAAGATCGCTGGACGAGTTACGCTCGCTCTGCTCGATTCGATGAAATGCTAGAATTAAGAGTTTATGGTGTACCAGCTAGTCCGTCTCGATTTGCTCTTTCGTTCGTCGAGTGATTACCGCTGTCCACTGAACACTTACTGTGTAATCGATTCTCACCATCCGAAAGATCTCGTTCGGCTCTAGGTTTTGGGAAAAATGGTGGGACAGAACTCTATCCTCGTATGCACCCTTGCACCGAGATGGTGTCCTTCACCCCTTCAACGAGCTTCTAACACTATCGAGGTAGGGGGGGGGGGGCTTATATGAGAGCAGAGATCCTACCCTACGACAATGTGTTAGTTTACGACTACTAGTGGCTAGAAGCAGTGATAGCGGAATGGACTCGGACCAAATTTTTGTTCTGTATAATTGTCTTGAAGGCAGAGTTCATCATTTTGAATACCTAGCCCTAGACAAATAATGGAAGTGATAATTCTTAATAATGCAAAAGTGATGAAGAAAACGCAGAAATCGGCGTATCCAGAGAATCAAAAGGCTAAAAAAAGGCAAGAAAATTTGAGGTTGCACGAGAGTGTGGCAACAAAAGTTGCATTTAATGGATATTAGGAAGAGCTGTCTAAATGTGAGTGCCATTGCGTACAGCTGGCTACTGTAAGCTAGCTGCGTGCAACAAATGTCCCTTGGTACGAATGGTGCAATGTTTTCAGCCTCTACAACGCCATGAGAGCTCGTCCGCCCTGGGGCGTGTACGTCAGCTAAGCCGGTTCTGGGGCCCTTGTTACGAGCTATCTGGGTCGTTTCTCGACCCGACAGCGCCCCTTGTGCTATCCTTGGGAGTCACAGGTACATCCTCATGAAGAATCTCAGAACGACTGCAGTCGTGAACTGCGCCTTTAAACAGTCGGGTTCTGTGCATAGATGATTATTTCGGTCTCAGAAAACAGCAATCATCAAAACTAAGCTATCCACTGCCCCTGTCACCAAAACTGAATATTTCTACATATCACCTCACTCCTTCAACGTACAGAGATCCTATGGGCCTTCATAATTCGAAAATCCGACATGAAGAATGCATCGCAAGCTCTAAGATGAAAAGGGCGAAATAAAAAAGTAGCGAGCTACATCAGAGAAGCCAAAATACTGTCTCAAAGAAGAGATTCAATACTAACCTATTGGTCGGGTCCGTATGGCGACGCTGAGGCTCACCCATGATATGTTTCTCTTATAGGGTAAGGTATAAGGTACTGATTTATACGCAGTAATGTTTTCTCTATCGATCGCTTTCCATCTATTTTCAGGCTGCATTTCGGTGACAAAGAGACGCTTTGCTCTATATGCATCAAGTCACCTACTGCCAGGGAGAGTCAAGTGAAGAGTTATCAATACTCCAGAGAACATTCTATCACCCATTAGAAGACAAGTGAACACCGACAGTAGATATTTGCATCACTGCTTAATTCGATCAATGTTTATGTACACACAGAACGAGCACGTCTTCTTTGGGGATAAAAAATAGATAACGCCCGGGAACGACGGGAAGGAAGAGAGAAAGTGAAGAACATAGGAACAAATGGAATGCCGCAAAAAAGAGCTATGAGTTAGAAAGGAATCAAATTAGACGGGCGGAATTCCCGTAAAAAACACCAAGGGAAGCAGGGATTTTGAGGATTTCTGAAGAGCACACGGTAGCGCTAAATGAAGACGCGAACTACAAATTGATTCCTTTTTGAAACACAATCCCAATATTGAAACCCCTGCTAAATATGACGTAAAAAAAATAAAAAGAGAAAATATGACAAGAAACCTCAGCGTAGACTCTGCTTTCGAAAGCCCATCCTCTCAGTGGAACTTGATCCTGCGTGAGAGGAAGCTTGTGGCCATAAGCAACCCGTAACATTTGTTGTACAATATCAATTCCAGTGATACATTCAGTGATTGGATGTTCGACCTAAGTGTTCAACATCACAGACAATAATTTAGAAAATTTTAAAAATATGTCATTAATTGAACCTGTAGACGCGTGTTCATTTCCAGGAAATAGAAGTTTCTCTTCGAATCGACCAAGAACTCTACAGTTCCTGCCGAATCGTAACCCACAGCTAATGCAAGCGAACATGCTGAAATAGGAATTCCACAAAAATGAGCTTTTCATCAAAGAAAAGACTTTTTGGCAGAAAAAGAGGAACCTTGCTCTCCCATTGCGCGACGCATCTCAGGAATGACAAAGCTGCTCGGAGCTTCTTCAATCACTTTCTGATTTCTTCGTTGGATAGAACATTCACGCTCATTCAGCCAAAGGGCGTTTCCATGTTTATCACAGAGCACCTGAAACCACTCTGAGAACTTGTTTATTCGTCATTTTGAAACTAATCCTTGAGCGATTACCTTACCTTATAGTATACTTAAGCGAACTTAATCAAGCTGCAAATCCGGGAGCGTTATCTACAATTTATTTCAAGTAGGCTGAACTCCTATGAGGTACGGGCCCAGATTATGACTCCCAAGAGTGCAGTTGCTAAAATATTGCAAAACAGGATTACTGCGCTTGGGAGAATAACTACGGTGATTAGGGAGCAGGAGCGATAAATGAGATGTTTCCGAGGATTTCCCATATTTCAGTCAAAATAAGTGTGAATCAAGAATCGAAGTGTGCCAGGCTGGAACATTTAAAGAAAGGGAATAGCCACATTGAGAGGGGCTCGTACAAACGAAAAAGGTGAGATGAAGCAATGTCATGAAATTCAGGTTCCTTAGGCTTTTCAATGCCTTAGGTCGTCGCTCATTCTAAAGTTGAAGTAGTAAGAACTGTAAGGGAAGATACAATGGAAACCGTCGTCGCCCTCCCACTCTTTTTCTATGCGTATTAAGTTGAAAAGTGCGCTCGCCTTACACAACCCCAACGTTGTAAGTGATGTTATTCGTCGACAATGTGGACGTGAAAAGTATTGAGAAGGAGGAGATGCTTGCGGCATGCATCAAAACTATGCTCCTAAAGCTCACCGAAATTAATTGCCAGTTATGTGCCGCTGCGGTACCAAGTCTAGGAACAAAACCAACAGCGTAACAAGGTGAAGAAAGTATATAAGAAATAAGGAACGGCTAATTTCACCTGCATTTCAATGTGTCGAGGATTATCAATGAATTTCTCAACGAGCATACGATCATCTCCGAAAGAAGACTTTGCTTCCTGTTTGGAAAGCCTAAACCGCTTTTTCGAAATGACTCATAGCCATATAAGCCCATGGTATGATCCGGATACCTGTATCCATCACGAGCCTCCTTATCATTCCAAGCAATACGCATTCCTTTTCCACCACCTCCTGCTGAGGCTTTAATCATGACCGGATATCCAATGTCGTTGGCAACCTATATGAGAAAAAAGTACATGAACAACTGTTAGATTGATTTCCCTTGCATCAGGTTTAAACTGCTCGATTACATTGGCTAATCTGAACCCTCATCAGATGATCGGATATGCCGCCCTTCCGTTCGCCTCATTTGTATAACTTTGCAATCATTTCCTAACTAATTCTGTGGCTCCTATAATTTATTATTTCATAAAAGTCGTGGTAGATAATGGGAGAGCTTCAAAAGAGTCTGTATGTACATTGCGAATGCACACTTAATTCTAATACTTCATATATGCCTATTATGCCCACTCTACAGCTGCTTGTATTATTACTGCCTTTTCAACGATTCAGGAATTAATATAGCTAATTCAATTGTATTCCAGCTAATACACCACCATCTTTCGGGCACAATGCTGTTGAGTAAATCAGTGTAACATTCACAACCACAACTCAGCAACATTGATAACAACTGGAGGAACTTTGAGAGAGGTTTGTTGATCCCTTCCGACTTGTTCTACTTTTTAGGAAAACCTATGAACCCGATGCCTCCGTGGCTGACCTTTTTTCGCAGGTGTCCACTATATTAATCAGCTGGTACCACGTGTTTTAGGGCAAAACGCTTTCGTCAAGCCAGCTTCTACAGTATCTCATCGTTGGCTATCTTGAGAATTGCTCAGTAATGATGAACAATTAGCCGTTATTTTCTTTAGGTGATGACCTTATCATTTCCTAGCCATCTCGCAGTGATGCGTTTTTTCTTTCCCTTGCGCCCTACGTCTTCCATAAACTAATAAGAGGTAAGCGTGCAATCTTTTTATGCCTACGGTAAGCGAGAAAACCAAGTCTGGATTCCGAACTTTCACCCGATGTTAATGTCAAAGCAGCAAGAAAAAGCCGAACCCGTTTTACTACCACGAAAGCTAGAAAACCTTACTTTAACGCACATATCCTCGTCGTCTATTTCGCCGTCAAATCCAGGAATCATGTTGACCTGAAACAATCGATATTTCTTGCAAGCATTTTGAAGAATTGTGTTCGTCAGTATACCGTCAGCTGTCCATAGTAAAAAATAAGGGCAAACCATGGACGCTGTAAATTTTACAAAACATTACACAAAGTCACCGAGGTAACTACTCAACTTAGCAGCTGTGGCTATCTTTTTCGAATGAATTTTGTCTCCCATATCCAGGATAGCCTTTGAGTTGGGACCAATGAACACTGCGCCGGCTTTTTCTAATTCGGCAGCGAATTTGGTGTTCTCAGAAAGGAAACCATATCCAGGGTGGACCTGAATGATGTGCAGATCAATGAAGAATATTCAAAAACACCAAATAAACCCGACTTACAGCCTGAGCTCCAGTCATCTTCACAGCTTCCAAGATCTTGTCTGCACGGAGATACGATTCACTTGTGGGAGCTGGACCGACACAAACAGCCTCATCAGCCAATTTGACGTGAAGAGATCCTGAGTCCACATCCGAATGTACGGCAACGGTTCTGATGCCCATCGCGCGGGCAGTCTTGATTACTCGACATGCGATCTCTCCTACAAACATCAATTAAAAAAAAAACAAATTAAATTTTTTTTCCGGAATAGTGGAGTACTGAAGCACTATTTCTATCGAATTTAACATCGATCAATTTCTAAGGATCTTCTATGTCAAGCATTCCAATTCCTCAAGGAATTCTGAAGTTAGTTTCGATTGAACGCACGAAGTATAATAGTTTCCTATAGCCGACATCAATCAACACAAGCGGATGACAAGCCCAAACTCAAAAAAAACTTATACAGATATCTGAACTGCGGCAGAATTAACCTTTTTCATCGAAAAACAGAGGGACGGTTGTTACCAGCAGTATCAAATGTCTTTTTAAATGTCAAGCTGACTAGAATTCGATCCCAAAGTGCCTCGAAATTTATAGGCCGTATTTTGACACCGAAGTTTTGTTGTTTGATCTCAGAAATACGAAAATTCGACTTCTGCAAAGAGACTCCCGTACAAAAGAAATCACATCTGAAACGTACCTCAAACCATCTGACTCCGATTTCAAGCAAACATTGATCGATCAATTTAACCATTAATAATCCCGAAAAACTATGGAAACTACACCCTGTTTTTTTCGACGCTTCGCAGAGTCGAGATACCGTACTTGTTAGGTACACAGTTTTACAGTAATCTATTATGAGCGCAGACAGGAAAGAAGTTACCACAAAACAACGTTGCGGTTGACCGTGATCAGCGAAATGTTAAAACAGGAACACTTTACTTGCTTTACAAAGGGTTTGATATCACCGCTTCCCTCCCCTATCTCTTTGTTTAAGTGAACACGATTAGGCGTTCCAAGCTTTACTACTGTACGAAATGGTAAGAATTCCTCCAACTAAATGTTAGCCAGTTGTCAGTTCCCTCAATACGTCACCTTTACTCGGTTTTTCTCACGGTATCCCTGTTGAAGATCGTTTCACTAACCCCTGCGGCTTGTTCTTGTCATTCACCCTGGCTTATGCCTTACCGCATGTCTAAACCACGTTTTCGTCCCTTGTGTAAAGTATACGTGCATTAGAACATTTCAGCACAAACCAATTGTCGCTCTATGCAAGCATTACGCAAGAGCGAGCAGTGCCCCCTCGTTATCGCTTGTCACTGGCATTCACTCTTTGAACGTCAACACGAGAGGGTACTTGGAGATGAATAATGAAGTGCAACACTCAGCACTCGATGGGAACTGCCGATGACTGTCAATGTGTTAATTTGACGCTTGGTCAGAATGGGCGCATTCATACTAGGTGCCGTGGACGGCAGCTAGTAGCGACGTCGTAGAATAGTGCCAAGGACGGCACTTGGTGCCGTCCACTGCACCTAGTATGAATGCGCCCATTCTGCAGTCTTCAGATCAAATAATACAACAATCCGGTTATGAGTCCTGTCTTGAATATCTGCTTATTACACCACAGGGGTAACGGAACTTCTCCACGGTCTGTGGCATGGTTTCGCGGTGACTCTCCGTATCCTTCCATTGAGAATTCAAATCTTTCCCTTCATAGCGTGCGATCGCGTGTGGCGAGTGCGACAGTTCCGTTCGGGGAGAAGATGCCAGACCGAAACCACAGTTTCCAAGGAACCCTTTGCGTATTCGGCGAACATCTGCCTTACAGCAGATTCCTCATCCATAACACGAAAGCATGTTTTCGTTGCTAGTACATCGAGACAAGTTCGTTTAATCGCGCTAAGTCCTTCTATTCCTACGTACTGAATATTGAATAAAAATATTCCAACAATAACAATGCGATCTACTTTAATTTCCCCGCCCTGGTAGTTATGGCATGTATTGACCCATGGTCCCGAAAGTGTAGTCCATCAAGACAAAAAGATAGGCCGTTGTCGCTGTTACAATACAAATTCTGTGACTCCATGCAAGAGGGCATGCAAAATTCCGCTCGAGAACTTATTTAGCAAAAAGGCGAGACAACGTTAATTAAGTGTGCGAACACGAGGTTATTGCCCTATCTGCATGACGCCGTTGATCGAGTAAAAGGTAATCAGAAGAAGAGGATACTAGGGGTAGGAATATGAAGCGTCTGTGGGAAATGCTATTCTAAACAAATGAAGATTTTATATCATTCCTTGGAAATTATTAGCTTACCTATTCCCAGCTAACTTCGTATAAACCAGACGTACATGTAGATGTAATAAATGTCATTATTAAGGACCGAAATCATCATTTTTTCCTAGACGCTTCAGTTACCTTCACTTGCTATCCTCTTGATCTAACTCCCATTACTCCTTGAATGGCAACATTCGGATAGCATGATGAGTTTTGAGTTTTCGCATTTGATCTAAGTCGCCATCCACTTTGACCCGGAGGTCTCCTCTCTCAAAGTTTTCACGCTGTTTTACTGCATTGACATAATGTGTCATTATGTCCACCGTTTATCAATTCGATGAGAGTTTCGCTACTGCTGTAAAACAAGTGGCTCTCGAAGATTTGAGCAAACAGGACGTCCCCAATAAATACACCAGAAAACACAGCATTACAGCATCTAGGCGACCATGATCACAACAAAGCCTTCAGAAAGGCGTGACGACATCTTCTATCTTTCTTCGCTGCCTCTAGAACGTCATGGATGGCTTACACTAGAAAGTCGTGATGGTAAAATTGGATACTTCCTTGCCGACTTTTGGTAATCTTACCATCAAAAAGAGACCTTTTCAATGGGAACGAAATAACATCCATTTCGTAGGAGAGCAGTAACTGGGACTACTCTTCAACATTATCAAATCGAAGTGTGCACCATCAGCGGCGATGAACTTCTTTGCCTTTTCTTCTTGCTGCACCTGCATGATGGTTCGTCTCGAGCCAGCAGTTCAAACCAGGATGCAAATGGTAGAAGACGATCTGCGCAACATGTACTCCATTAAACGAACGGAGGTTCATTGAGCCAGTGATGGAGCGGCTTTTCCCTCGTTCATAAATTTATTTTCTCAACCAGCGATACCGTAAGTACGTCGGACTCCAGTCCCTGCCTGCGAAACGCTGAAACACTGATGTACTTTACTAGAATGCTGAGAGTGAGGATGAGAGTGAAACAACAGGATCTGCGTCATATTTTTAACTTCGCGTACTTTCCTGTCTTGAAAACATCTAGACCCTGAACGCTATGGAAGCAAAGGGCGATGCATGATACACCGCGAAGCAGAGGAAACCTGGAAAATGGGAAGATTTGTGCAGTCACTGACCCATAAGATTCAACGAGTGGACTCTTAAACACCAAAGAACACCGGGACAACGGGTGACTGACGATTGCTCCGAGAGCCGCATAGCGAGACAACTAACCAAGACAACGAACTGAAGTATTTTGACGCGACAACTAGTTAAGAATCGCCGCGCGATTCTCGAACACCGAGTCTTCTGAAGTGAATACAACCGCTGGTCCTATAACTACATTTCTTTGTAGGGGACTAAACAAAAGGAACCGCCACCCAGATTTTCGAGCTTAAAAAACTTATTGAACATTATTCATGGACCCAATAAGAACTAACGGAGGCCGCCATCGGCTTAAAAAATCCAACGATCAACGAGACGACAGATGGTTGCTCTGCCTCAATCTGATCACCTTTCTATAACAAACTCTTCTCTACGAAAGGTATTTATTAATTGCTAACTAATTCTGAGGTGATACTAAAAGCCCTCGAATCGAATCGTACCGAGACCACAGAACTAAGTTCTCACCTCACGCGCTGTGCGATACATAATCTTTGATATGGATTCTAGCTGGAATACCTGGCTTGCCGCCGCGCTCAAACTCTTTACTTTCCGACGGCTGCCGGGGGTTGTGGGCGATTCGCGCGATTCTGGGTGCGCGCGGCAAATTGCGCGGCGAAATTCGGTGCGATTTGGACGACTGCAGCGCTTATCATTGGGGCCAAAATTTCAAGTGAAGTAGGTTAGTAGGATTGTCTGACCCTACTATTTGTGCCCCAATGATAGGCGGAGGAGTTGTTTGTATCATCGCAAAATTCGCCGCGCGCACCCAGAATCACAGAATCGCCCGTCCCCCCAGCTCAAGTACGGAGCGAAGGGGCGCGGAAAGTACTTTTCCGCGCCCTTCGCTCCGTACTTGAGCTGGGGAAACGGGCGATTCTGTGATTCTCCAATTATGTGACACAGCTTCTGGGATGAGATTTAGATTTTTTAGGGTGACCCTCTAGCGAAAGAAAGGGAAGGGACCCTTGAAAAGGAAAAGCGAGGGTATGAACGTGTGATCTACTGAAGGCGTATTTTCCAACCTTCCTTTCGCACGCACCCCCTCTACAATTCACCTTCTTCCATTCCAGGCACGTGCCCCTTTGATGGTCAGGACTTTATAATCTTGCGATGTTAGATTACTGTACCATGAAATCCACGTAATGACGAAATCTGCCCAGACAGGTGAAAAGATAACATCCCACCGAAATTAGACGTGAATGAAACCAGTTCTGCAGTCTCAGTCTCATCATAAGCCTAACAGAGAATTAGGAAGATAATTAAATCAGTGCTGATGTTACGGTAGTCATTGAGTCTGCGAATAGACAGGAGAATCACAGACACTCTACGCAAGCACGTCTGCTCTTTCTTTCAAACTGTGAGCGTTCTAGAACAAACAAAAGGTCATGTTCGACATCAGTGATTAGAGGGCACCTTTATATTTGCAGTACATTGTTATCTCTACTTTTCTAACATTCCATAAGGTTCGATTGTTTTGTTAGGCATCACTGGTCGAGAGCAGTGATCATTCTAATGGCAAAACCAAACTTTTTGCACCCAGAGCTGGAGAACGGGTCATTGAACGATGCGAGAGCTGCGATGTGAATAGCGAGAATGTCTTCCGCTTTTTCTTGTCACTTTTGGCCCTTTTGCACGCTTCGGCATCTTTCATAGTCCACGACCGGTCGCGCGACCGATCGCGTGACCGGTCGCTAGCGACTGGCGACCAGTCGCGCGATCAGTCGCGCGATCGGTCGCGCGACTGGTCGTGGACTATGAAAGATGCCTTCCCGACGTCTGCGTTACGTCAACGCGTCAGACAGCGTGCATAGTCTGTGAAATCAAAAAATCGCCCAGAGTCTAGATACGTATTGATTCGAAGGCTAAAAGGAAAAGAAAAACAAAAGTCTAGGGGATTGTTGAGCAAGATAACAGACGTCATAGAAAAGGGAATTTAGTATTGGGCACCAATTTCCCACAGTAATGCGGCTATGGGTCCTGGCTCAATCCAGTGCTCATGCCGCTAACTACTCCACCGGTATACTTGCTCAAAATCACTTTCTAGGCATCGTATATGTGACCGGCGAGGATTCGGGAATCCAGATAGGTTGATGCTGTGATAGGAATGTGTTGTACGTTAGATTCTGCGATTGAGATGAGAGGAGATTTTGCATTTTAATTTACGGTAAGATCACTGTAAGAACTGGGCGCTCCTACTGAGGTGGTGGCATGCACATTCTTNACTGTCGCAAATTATCGTCGTCGGCTGACCGTCGGCTAACCTAACATAAACATAATTCGAAAAAAAACTGGTTTTCAAGCGCTATATCACACTAAAACACCGTATTGACGAGAAGGAAGGGATGCATCAGTACTTCAAATTTATCTACTTTATCATTGATCCAATGACTTACTCGATCTCTTAGTTAACTACATCTCGAACTTCTTGCTAGTGATTTAAAAAAGTCTTTCAGACGCTCTACAAGGCTAAATTTTAAATTTTTAAATTTAATGAACCATTGTCAGGTAAAAGTGAACCAACTTGATATTCGTACTATATGGATTGATTTGGTAACCATTTCTATAACCAACAAACCTCTGTTAGCAATGAGAATTTTCTCAAATTTTGGCTCGTCGGGATCAATTGAACAGGTAGTGTAGATTTCCTTACTTTCACGTTCATCAACTGCGCTGAAAAAGCGTACACTTCCACTGAAAACAGTGGGAGTTTTTATTCTACGCTACTTCTACCCGCTACAGCACAGACAATGATCTCACCCTGTCGTTTCCCTAAGAACTCTTGGTGCTGTGCAAAGTAACCGAACACCAGCAGAATGAGACGATCCGTAGAGGTGTACGGACGATGCAAGACGGTAGGGAAGAGCCGACAGCAGCCTCATAGTTAGTTAGCCCTGAACACAATGAACCTTCGATTTTCATCGGGACAGATGAGACCGCTTCATAACACTCGTGATATAACTGATAAGACGTAACCAGGTAACACGTAACGTGAAAATAACAGTAAAATAATGTTTTCAACATGAATTTATTGGTTGTTGCAGGTATTCAAGGAAGGTGGGAGCATTTGGGCCGGAACGCGACCACCCAAACATCCACCCACAGGATTTAAATAGGCGGTAAATGGGAACAGACTAGGTGCTGCATTCTACAGTGGACATATTGGAAAATCATAAAGTAACCGAAACTTGAGATCGTAGAGGTCGCTATGTATACGGATAGATCTGACGAATAGTTGAAATGGGAAGTGAACTCCGAAAGGGCGGAGTCACCGAAGCTAGCTAGTAGTAGACAGTTCTTATGTGTTGGAGCAGATCCCAGCATTCTATAATTCCAAGTTTCGCCCGGATCGGCCCTATCTTATGTTAGTAAGCAATCTCGCTTCCTATGCTTAGGCGCCCTTCCCCTCCTACCCCCAACATTTTCTCTCCTCCGGAGTTAAAAATACAAGACAAGAGGTGGGCGGGCAAGGCCACGAAAAAAACTTGCAATCCATCATACGGTAACAAAGTCAGTGAAACAAAAGGCTAGGTTGTTGGGTGAGACTAAGCAGTGATTTGAATCAGTGCTAGTAATGTCCCTATGCAGGTCTGAAGAAAGAGCTAGCTCTGAGAAGGGTGTGATCTATCTATTAACCATTACTTCTATGATTTATGTTAAACGTGTAGAACTTATTCTTCCTACAGAATGTTCTGGAAAGACTGAAAGCAAAAAGCATGGTGTCATCCCAAAAAAAGCGTTCCTGAGGGTAGACATTGTCGCCTCACTTTTAGATAGACCACAACTTAGGAATTCATTTCACAAAGCATTATGAGCAACATGCGACCGAATAAATTAAAATCAATACTAGCGATGAGCATAGTTCAAGCGAGAATTGAAAAAAATGAAGGGCTAGGGCGATCTATAACTTATGATGAGAGCAAAAGAAATCTTTGATCGCAGTTGATTCAAGGAGATGTAAGAGAAAAACTGAAGAGCGGACAAGCACCCACTTGATTTTGCGAAACATTCAATAGTATAATGTATCTCCACACTTTAATGTTTAATCTTCGACACTTACAATTGAATGCGGATTTTTGAAACGAGACTGTAAGTCTAGAACTATTGGGCCTAATTACGGCCCCAAACGCGGCTTTAGCTATGAGAAAATCTTTTCCCCAGCAAGTTATTCCATAATAGTCGAGTCTAGGCTCTGCAATCTGAAAATGTGCGCAGGTGCCGTGACAAAAACAGAAATGTAAGCTAGCCATGTTGTGGTATGGATCCAGACAACCTCCCTTTCCTACTTCCCGAGCAATGGTAGAGGAAGCATGCAATTAGGAAGTGATACGATAAAAGAACATAATGGCAATAAAGCAAAAAAACTTGCTGCACTTGGGTCGATTAGTGAACCTCAACTTTCAAACCTAACGTAAAGACACATTCTGAAGTAGTCTGGGTAGATGTTGTGGCGCTGTAAAGTGGAAGTGTAAGGGCAAATTGTCTACAGTGATGGAAAACATCACTGGGTGCCGTCATTTCAAAACATAAGAGCCTATTCGAATCCCAGACATACATAACTTCATCTACTACTACACTCAAACCAAATGCAGAGGATCTAATTCATAGGTTCTAAGTAACGATCCCTTATGGGTTTGTTGCGGACCATTTCACCTACACATTCATGTCTGTACCCCACAACAATGGTTGCCAGGGGTATCGAAAAATAGGCGTGCAAATGAGATTGGAAGCGCTCTCCAATACTTTTATAAAAGTGCAGTAAGTGGTGGTCCAGCCACATATGTATTGATAAGCACTTTTTGTTAACGTATTGAAAAATCACTGCGATTGATAAGTCGTTCGATAGGGTGACTGGCATCCTTCAAGAAAGACTGAAGGGGAGGCGGTGTCGCCAGGGTAGAACCAAAGGAATACTGTAGCCCAGGCGAAGAGGAGGGGAATACGGTCATCACTTTCACTGTGACACGTTGACCACGTCGCACTGCTCAACGGGGGGATTTTTTGCACATGGCAAGGAACATTCTACGGTAGTAATGTCTGACAGCGTTAGGCTATAGATAGCTGAATTCTAGGCAAAGTAACTAAAAATGCAACTGTTTCAGTCTCGAAGTTATTCGACTGAGAGCAAAACCACGACAACGCTCAGCCTAAGGCAGCTGTTGAGAAACACGAAAGTTCAAACAAATAGGACGACCTTCACAACGGTTGCGGCCCCTGTTTTCGTCTCATCCGATTAGAAGGGTCCATCAATCAATAATCGGTCGACAAAACAACTGCCAGTGGCATCGTTTCTCTCAAAAACTCTGACGATCCATCATGCGCTTGTTCATCAGCAATTTACGACTGTTTCGGTTGGTTATGTCAGAGAGCCTATTTCAGTAGTTCTCTATGGAGCTCAGTATTACTGAACGGACATGCGTATTTTGAAAGTACAAAAAAAGACATACGGCTATTTCTACAAGGAGTGAAACAATTGAGAGAGATTAATGTTCAACGGAGAATCGCTTAAGTGATTTCTACAATGAGAGACACAAGCGGCGACGGAAATTGAAAGACGATCGATGTTGACGACCGCCTGTTAGGTTGCCTTCGCCTGTCACTGACCTACAGCACACACTACTCGCTCGACCCGCCTCACCTCACTTGACGGTGTGACAATGTTGGCACCGCTATTGAATGAAAAAACCACAGTGCATAGGCCAGAAGTAAGATTTTTGGAGATTCAAAGAGTAATTGGCGAGTCACTGGTCCTCGCTAAGTCGTTCCATCGACTGCTATGGGTAGGCAGTGTGTTTGACCTAGTACTGATAAGGGCTGAACGGAAATACGTGCCCATGACAGCTTCGAAAATGGCTATTTGTTCCCTCTGCCTAAGCCTGTACTCCAGTAATATAAACCAAAACACGCAGACAGAGATTTTTGCGCATATGGTGTGGAAGTCGATCAGAGCCTTTCCGGCAAGTCATAGTGTAGTTCCGGGCATACAGCAGATCATAGTGTAGTAAACACAAATGGTCGAGAACAGTGGAGCAAAGATGGACAATGGATGCGGCGGAACTGCCGTTAATACAATTGGAAGATCAAATCCATTGTGATTTTAGCCACTCAGTCTTTGGGCATGTCTGATTGCTATAGACCGTCCTGAAAGGACTTATATGATTCCGATCTCGAACATCGATTGACTTAATGGAAAGCTACCATTGAGGTCAGATTTGCATCAAATCGCTATCACGACAATTAGCAGAAGTCGAGTGCGTGGCTCATTCTAGGAAATGCATTGATGCCTTTGAAACCACAAAATGTGGAACCGCGAACATCATACAAACTAATCCTTTACGTACAATGTAACTAGCGAGGGCCGAACTTTTTATGCCAGTTGATGGTGGAGAAGATGTACATGCTTCTTACAAATATTCTTCCATTTATTTGCCTCTTCACGATTACTACATTCTTTTGCACGGGAATGTTCGACCGTCACTTTGTCCTCAGCTTCAAAATGACTGCACTCTGCCCCTTATTGACAAAGGAATTTGTACTTGGAACGTCGTACCAGTGTTTTTTTAACAAGTGATTTTTTTCAGTGTTTTTTCTTAGCTAGAACTAACAGATAACGGAAGGAGCTCAAAAATTCCTCCACTTTTGTATCGATCTTATCTTAACAGCTTACGACACCGGAACCAAAACTATTAGTTAAAGCCAAAGGAGTGTCCAGTTTTGGTCAGCGACTTCTACTTTGTCAAAGAATCTTATGGGTCAAATGGAATCAAATAAACAATCATATTAGAAAAACACGCTCATAATAGAGCTCATCATATAGCTTTGCTTGTTGAGAAAAGAAGTCATCAGCCAACGAAGAGCGAATAGAGTAGTTAAAGTAATTTTCGAAAGGCCCAGAAGTGACAAATTACGTCGTGTACACGAAATCCAGAGGCTATAGAGGGTTATGTTGCGAGCCCCAGCATTTCCTTCAAAGCAAGAATGTTGAGCCCAGCCCCATGCGACAACGTAAACTTAAACATAGCAAATATTCTTCCGTACTTGTAGCACACTCAGGGGGTCCCCTACCTTCAAAATTAAGTTCGACGCTGGAACTTCGATACATTATAGTTGTTCGCTATTATTGTTGTTCAATTGAAAGAATTAAAAAACCTACAACAACGAAAATCAAACCAACAAAACGAAAACAAGAGACATTCGAACACAAGAACAACGCATGAAAGTACAATAAAAAAGACTTCATAAATATTAATAGGTCAATTCTATAATATGAAAAGATACAGTATACTTACCCCTAACGATCAAGCGCTCGACCTCGTTCCAGAACCGCGGCATCGGCTCCATGTTGTTGAATTAGAGACAGACTGCTGCTTCCATGGTGATCTGAAGTTCGGATTCAATAAATTTGTTTGTTTTTTACCAAAAACATTCAAAAGTAACCGCCGAAGGTGGCAATCTTCATTAATTATCGTTCCACTTTTTGCATGGCCGTCTACGAGTTTAATTAATTTCCGTCACGCTTTTTGGAAGAAATTCAAGACAGCGACAAATTGCCATCCATCACATTCATTCTTTCAGCGTTTTTGATAATATTTCAATAAAAACAGCATTTCCTGCCACACCGTTTTTTCAAACTAATGCTTGAACACTAAGGGAGCGAGGAGTGTGAGGGGGTAGGATTCAAAGACGACTTCCTAATATTAGTAGAGAATGGTCATTCAAGTTGACTGCAATCATAATCACAAACCCACTCAGCCTTAAAAGGCAGAGGCACTTAAATTGGGCGTAAGGCTCAGATACAACTCATTAGTTGCCCCTGCAGACACAAGTACTTTGGTTGCACGTTTGCAAGAATAGCCATTTACGCACAACATTTCTCGATCGTAATGATCCCGAAACAGTTAATCTTTGCACTTAACGACGGTTCAAGAACTTCCTACCTGGGTGATCGACGTACCCTGCTTTTCATTTTTCAACTTTAATCAAGCACACGATCAGTATTCTGGGTACCATGCCTAACAGCAGTGGGCACTATGTTCGCCATGGTATGTAGAGCGTTATCAACTTTCTGGTTCACCTATCTCCGTTCATTTGCTGCCTATAAAAAATAAACACTCAAAGAGACACACCTTATGCACTTATCGATAAGGTAAGCACTCACCTCCAGTACTTCCACTCCTCTTCTTTTGGAAAAACTCACCAGCAAAAGCTTCATAAGACATTTTCCAACTGAAATTACTTATGTTCTGCGTTTTCGTACATGAAACCCCAAAAAATATCAAACACTTAAAAAAGGAAAATGTCAGAAGCCCTCTCTATGATTTGTCTCACATTCAACTTCCACACAAAACCGTAGTTGTACTTGAGTGGTTGCCAAGCCTAACAACTAGGGTAAACTAACGTGCAAGGCGGGTCTGCTGTCAAGATACATACCCTGGAAAAATGAAAATCTTGCCTCGTCTAAAGTGGCAGGTCCTCGTGCTATGACTCGTGGTGAATTAACTGGTGCCACACTTACTCGGGAACGTAGGAGAGTCCGATTCAATGAATATAGACGTATACGAACGGCGCCACATGTCGTTAGCGAAACTCCAAAGCCTTTCAGATTTTTCTGCTCTCCTTGTCGTAAGTTTCTCGAGGAAGTGTTCACCTGCTCATCATGTTCTGCCTCCAATTCATAAAAAACTCCTCACGTATGACTCCTTTTCGTCCCTCTGATTGTGATCGGGCTCATTTTTGGCACGAGTCCTCTCAAACGGTCATTCATTGTTTCTTTTTTCATAGGCCGTAGTAGGCAATAATTGCTTCAAACTCGAGCTGATGCCCTACTTCAAAAAAGTGGCCGTCCGAAGCTTACTTTCACTTCATCAATGCCGACCTCTCCAATGTTGAATCATGAGCTGTATGTAAAAGAGAGGTTTTTTCTTTCTCATGGAAACCGCTTAAGAATTGAACATGTGAAATCTTCGATATCCAGCTCTATGTAGTGTATTGTTGCAGATGAGTTACGGTAACGACCAGCTGGCTGTTAAAGTCAGTGCTGTGGCTTACCAGATAAACTATCTCACAGCTGGCCTGTGCCGAAGAAGTGGAAGGTCTAATTGTCACATAGGAACTACTAGACAACCATATGCCCTTAGTTTCCATTTCGGGCATCGGTTTTCAATGTGCCCAGTGTAATCTCCGTTTCCCCAGCCAGTAAAGTTTTGATAACATCTTCAATCATTAATTCAAACACTTACTGGTTAGTGCGGTCATCCATGCAATCCTTCGAATAATGAAGTTCGAATAAGCAAGTAAACTACCGAAAGGAACTATCTTCTTCAAAAACCTATTCTTACAATGAATCGGATGGCAAGCATGTTGAACCTACTCGGTTGGAGCCTACTGCTCATGAAAATTACGTTGGTCACGATTCATACGAAAAGTAGATACTGAGGGTAGGTTCAAAAAAAGAGTGGAACCGCTAATCGAATTAAATTTCATCCTGAAGAAATCATCATCAGAAAGGTGGAAAGTGCATCGATGTGACGGGGAGGGAAGTGTGGAGCGACCGCTTGCTACACGAGCCCGGTAGTTTAAAATGGAAGGTTGTTTTGTGAAAAATAAATGCCATCTGTGGAAAGATAAGAGCTCTTGTTCACTAAACAAAATGTGAGCTTGCATTTCTGAACGGAGTAACAGCTACTGTAACTGTTGCCCGAATTTTTCTCAAAAAATATTTGAATTTTAACAGTAATATATAAATATAATACAAATATGTATAAAAAGACCAGATATCATCTTCGAGAAAGCAGAGAACAGTCTATGAGTTCCAAATTTATGCATTCTTTTATAGAGGCGTAACTGATGAGCACCACAGTTAGCATATTGACGGGATTGGACCACCTATCAAAGAGTTCAACACAAAAAAATATAAGAAAAATTCAATAGCACAGCGGAGGGTTTGACCCGTGAAAAAAACTGGAAATTGGAAGAATAAGAAACTCTATAAATATGACAAATTTACATGAAACCTCGTGAGACCTCTAGCGAAACACTGAATGAATAACGGAATGAAGAGAAATTCACAGTGTAATGCCTCAATAAATTATAAATATCATACATTAACAATCATATACAGCGTTACGCTTGATTGGACTGTCGTCCTAATGGCGGTTTCACATCCATGATGGTCAACTGATGAGGTTTTTCATGTGAAACCTTTGCTTTCTTAAATGGAAGTGCAGCGAAAACCACTGGAAGCACGATCAGACCATGACACATGCCAAGGAATACGACTAGTACGACAACCTGGAATGCTCAAGGATTCATTCGTAAGGGTATAGACAAGTGCACAATAGGGCGTTCAGACTTTGCATGGATCCGACGAACCGACATGCCAGTAAAACGGTGAGAGTACGAATCTTGAAACGCACACTGAGATTCACTAGACTTAAACTGACAAGGTATGCCCGGCACTGGGAGGAAATTCGACTGTGGGTCGGGATCGGTACCCATAATGGATTTAGAGAGATAACCTACAGTCGCAACGAATGCTAGGGTGTAGGTCGGGACCCACCGTGGATTAAAGACCAGTAATTAGTTAGCATAAGAGAAAACCAAATCACCTTCACAAACACCTTAACCATATATGCATGAACTGCTGTAAGAACAACAATGGAGATCATCGTAGACATTCCGGATTGGAACATGGGCCAAGCGATTGACGCCAGTGCATGGCGGAGACGTTCACGCTTGCTCTGCAATATCCCATAAAAGTAAATTTAATTGGAACATGGGACATAAACTTCTTTCTAAATTCAAGAGAAGGTCAATGTCTGCACTATCCTATCACCAGAGCATCGGAGTGATGAGTTGCTCATCCGGTCCAACTTTTCGAACGAAGTTTCAAACTTCTATCTTCGGTATAGCTTCTCCGCACCACTACAGCCCCCCGCGTTCTATTTTCCTCTGGGCGCTAGCGTAACCGTTGGAAACCCGGAGCATAAGAAAGTGTCCCTACCTACTCCTTTCTCACCGATGACCCTAACAAAGCCCATTCCAGCTTTCTCAAAATAGGGTGCAAACTTGACCTCGAAGGTTTAAACTGTTTCGGGAAGCCCAAGTAAAAATTACCGGGAAATCTCCTTTGTAGTAGTGCCATGTTATGTGAGCAACGAAGTCCACCGAGAATCCAATAGCCATCAGCAATGTTGTCATCGAAATTGGATCCAAATCAATGTTGAGGTAAACAAGGCAACCGAATACTCCTGAACAGATATGAAAATAACAATCCAGAACACAAAGGCTCTGATACACAACAAATCGCAGATAAAGCCGGGACTTCAAAATCTAACAGAGCGTGGACGATTATGAAGCTGCTAAATTAAAGACAGTAACCTTGATAAACAACATTTTCACATGAAATGGGGAAAAGTTCAAGGCAAAAGTCACCACTCAGCTCTCAAGGGAGATTCGATATATCGAGACAAAAAGTGCGAGAAAGATTAAGACCTCAGACCGCGTTTTTGATTCGGATTTTAGGTTTCCTATTCAGTGATGGACTTTTGTCTAAGCTCACATTCATTTCCCATGTACACCAAATTGTGAGCAAACTGCTTGTGACTCATATAACAGTCTGCACACGACCTAACGGAACAGACCTGCTTGCAAATGCCTTCGCCTCTGCGATTTACTCGCTGAGATTTCGAACAGTAACTCACATTAAGCGAAGGCCAGAGGCTGCTATGGGCGACTCATAGGTCAGGCGTGTGGTTGGTATATCGTGTGCAGGTGGCTGCCTTCAGAGTATGCGTCTAGAGCATTGCCGACGCGCGTTTTGCGCGGCTACGGTGGTTGGCGGCAAATCGATATCGTTAAATGAACGGCGGCGCCGTCGACACTTGCGAATTGCGCGTCAGCCATATGACAACGCAAACTCCGAAGACAGCAAGTTGTGTGAAGAGAGGATTCGTTCCCAGTTTTACCCGGAATGAGTAGGGAGACTTGGGTTTATAAGGTCTGAACATGCCTACCATAACATGCTGATAACACGAAGTTGTGCGTGCAGCTCCATCATCCATCGGCATAGCTCCAGTTGGGGATGATGACCAACAACGATCACGGAAGTCACCAACGAAGCAACAATTTCACTTAGTTAGGCTGCTTTCATGGGTCCCATGGAAGCAGCCTAACTGACCACAAGTACCGAATGAGGGG